AACATTGATTTAGATTAACTTTGTTTGTCTTCTTCTCAAACAATTTACAACAATTTATGACACTTTATTATTGTGTTGCTCGGAATCAAAGAACGATGCTAATGTTCCAGAATGCTTAGTAATAAAATGGAAATGTTAAATTTATTATATAGAGGTAGTCGATATTAACATTACAAACAGTTCACATTTTAATATGAAATAATAATTGGAATATGATGTCGAGGAAAGGTATAATGCACATTTCCTTTGTCTTGCTATGTAATGACGTTATATTTGTAGAGTGTTTAATTTCCGTGGATTTCATTATCATGTAACGCTTATATTTCCCATTAATTTACAACCTTAATGAATTTAGATTTACAAGAAATAGTTTTCAATTTTAACTTCATTATTAATGTATGAAAACTCCCCTTTTAATAGTAGTAAAAAGAACAAATTAAAGCATGAAAATATTATTTGCATGATGAATCATTGGATCAGTCTATAAAGATTTTATTGATTATTATGTTGGAAAAAAATTAATCGAACAGTAACAAAAAGATATAAACTTTTAAAAAAAAATTATTGATTTTTATCTTAATAAAAGGATTATACTCCAAATCTACACTTAATGCATGTAAAGTTAACCAATAAAGTAAAATTGTGTATTGTAACGTGTCAAGGATTGATTCCAGGATCTTGGGGTTTGGATTAATTAAACTAGCTAATAATTGTCCTCTTAAACAGTTAAAGTGATTGTACAAAATGATTGACTTGGAAATATATTCCTATCTGGTTCTTCCGTTACTTTACACTTGATGGTCGCCTTAATAATTGCGAATAAATAAAGAGTTCACCAATGTCATCGGACAAATACTGGTCTATGTTTTATTCAGTAGTGTCTACCACCATGTCAAGCCCCTATCTTACAGTGGTGATCAGCCTCATATATAAGTAGATAATGTGTTAACGTTGTCCTTATTCAAAACGGACAGAATCCACTGCTACCAGACTTTTACCTCTTCCTTGTACGTAAGCAAGGCAAACCTCTGAGAGAATGAGCTTTTATATTTTGGATAAAGATAACAAACAGTTATCTTTCTCAAAAGTCCATTTAAACAATACAGATTATGAAAAGAGCCAGCACGGACGAAACAACATTGGAAAGATAATCACAAAAAATTCTACGGCACACATCGAGAGGGAGGAAGGTTAATGTATACATTTTAACAATGTTTTTCATATACACGAAGATTTTTTAAAGTCCATTGTAATGAGAGAATTAAGGATTGCAACTATTGCCCCTTCCCCTCCCTCCCAATATCTGGTAAGTGAATTGTGTAACTTTTTTCTGCAATATTGCAGCCGTTAATTCTGCATTAACAAAGGAGGATATTTTGAAATTATTGTTTATATTTATTTCTGTATAAATAAGCGTATAAAGTAGGTTTAAGTAAAAATATTGTATTTTTATATGTACTTTAAGGTATGATTCATTGATGGAAGAAGTCTTTACAAGCGGTAGCCTTGAAAAAGTAGTTCTAACCAGTTTAACGTTAATGGATTGATTACGGGAAGTATTCAGTGGATGTAAATAATATTCGAGTAATGATATGTGAAAGTTAAATAAAATTTTATAGTATTATTATCATACAAAAAGGGTTGTTTTTACTTGTACTTCTTCAGTGCTGCATTGTGTTTGACTGCTGGCCTTTAAATTTGCACGCAATAAAAACACATAATAAGACAATATTCTGAAACATCTTTCATGATTTTCGATTTTACGGCGCAATTCCAGTGTAAGTATTTCTCTGCCTTCCTTCAATTCTGAAGAAATAATAATTGGATTTAAGTTTTTTTTTTTCTCAGGCATTCTGATTGTACACACAAGTACCCTGAAGTTGACATTAAAAAGATGCTTGAGTTTCTGATTGACATTATCTATGTGGTTTTTGGAGACCAGGTCTTCCAACAATCTATTGGAATTCCCAAGGGTACCAATTGCGCCCCGTTATTAGCAGACCTTTTTTTGTATTCATATGAAGCAGAATTTGTCCAAAATCTTATACGTGAAAAGAAGAAAAACACTTGCTGTGGCCTTCAACTCGACATATAGATATATCGACGACGTACTGTCAATTATTTCCATTCTTATGTCGATACGATATATCCCGGTGAGCTTGAGATAAAAGTAACCACAGAGTCTGACACATCTGTTTCATATTTGGATATTTTACTTGAAAAAGACGTTAATGGTAATCTAACAACCAAGCTTTACGATAAACGTGATGACTTTAACTTTTCAATCGTCAACTTCCCTTACTTAACGAGGTTCGCTCCTGAGCTTTTGAGCAGATTTTTATTTTGGCCTATATTTCAAAAATTCTCCATAATGTTTTAATTCTTACAATAAATTTGGATTCTACAATGCCAATTTAACTATATTCAGTTAAAACGCCATGATTAAATTCCATACCAAAAGCATTAAGTGAGGAACTATATTTTGTGGCGGAAGTTTTTTTTAGAAGAAAATGATCATTTTTTTCCCTTTCGAAGTATCTAAAGTATGTTAAGTTTGGATTCCTATTTTTACATGCAGTCTGCACACATAGTTATTTATTTGCAGTGGACTGTTTTATACTGGTCCTAAATTATCTATTAAATAAACTGTCATGAATTCTGTCATCATATATGATAAATATAGCAAATATATTGTGAAAATGAAGAAAGAAAATAGCCCTAATTTAAGCTTAAAATTAGCACTATTTTAGTAATATCTAAAAATTAACGTCACAGACCCCCACTTTTAATTTTCTTTTCTGAATATATACGATACTTTGAACCATTCTTCTTAAATTCATTAAAATGTCATTACTTTCAAATGATTTTTTTGCTTGTTAAATTTTTAATGCCAGAAAAATGAAAATGTTTGAGTGCAAAAAGGTCAGATAATTGAACATGCGGAGTAATTTGAAAATCTCTTCGTTGTCACAAATTTTAATGTGTCTATTTAAGATAAAATAAGACTGTTTTTGTTCCCATAATTTATTTGAACAAAAAATATTGAAGAAAAAACTTAAAAATTGATTGATGTGTAAGATGTATTTTCAGTGCAAAAAGGTCAAACTAAATGCTCTGTAGCGCCAAAAGAAGCGCATTGACCCCCATTTTTGTTTTGATTTTTAATAAAGCTATGTGTCTAAATCCTAAAAATATACTTGATAAAAAATTCTCATTACTTTTGATGACAGGATCCAACCTCCTTAAGCAGCAATATACCTTCATCACCTGCATACGGGGTTTATATATATTTCTCAGTTGATTCGATACGCAAGAGCATGCTCTACGTATGTACAATTTCCAAATCGAGGTAAATTATTGACAAACAAGTTGATGAAACAAGAATATCAGCAGTCTCGTTTAAAGTCATCATTTCGTAAGTTCTATGGTCGATACAATGACCTTCTCAGCAAGTACAATTTATCATTGAGTCAAATGCTGACTGACGTTTTTCATACTAATTGTTAGGCCATTATTTACACACTGAATTGTCTACGGATTTTTCCGTTATTTACCGATCATGACAAGGAGCACACGGCGGGTGTGACCGGTCGGCAAAGGATGCTCACTCCTCCCTGGCACCTGATCCCACCTCTGATGTTTTGGAGGTCCATGTTTGCTCTGCTCCTATTTTGTAATGTTTAATGGACTTTTGAGCTCGAATACTGTTCGTTATCTCCATATATTTCATGAAAGAGAATTGAGAGTCTTTTTAACATAACACTTGCTGTTCATAAATTGTGTGTGTAATCGTAACTATTATATAATAGCTCTAACAGTGCTACAATGACGATCCTTTTCTCTAGACCTTAATTTCACCCATTCTAAATATGGAATATGCCAATCAGTTACGTGATTTGAAAATTCTCCAGTCACATGTGATGATATTGAGCTTGAACTTGTCCGTATTTAGAAAAGTTCTGAACCGCTTGATAATAACAATGAGAGACCGATGTCAAGCGAACATCATTTCGAATAATCACTTTCTGTTTTACATGTACCCCAGCGGTTTTTAGTTACGTTCTCTTGAAAGGCTGTCAATTAAATTTAGCAATGCACTATGTAAAAAGACGAATATAAATCATTAAAAATGTTAATAATGAATTCAGTTTCTTTTTTATCCAGTGGAACATTTTTGTACGGCTTATATAAAAAGCGTTACCGTTTTTCCTTCAGTAAGTGTCTAATGACGAGGCTTCGTCTTGAGCTATAGAGCATGACGTGCGTGCGCAATGCTAGTTGCAACATTTACCGGATGTCTTAGTGTAATCAAATGTGATGGCAGAAGCCGATCACAACAAGGTGAATATAAAATGTAGGTAGGCATATCTAAAAGAGACTTTAAAAAGCACAGTGGCTTTTGCAAGCATAAGTGCTTAAGAAATGATTAATTTGCAGGACTACATCTTGATAATAATTTCGCGTGATCACAAAGTACCACAGCTATCAGCGTGCCCTTTCCAGTAACGACAAGGAGATGGTTTTAAGTAGGTGTAATTACTAGCGAAAATCAGTCCTAATTGGCTGGGGCTCAAAAGACTTTCCTTGCTGAGAGACGTATATTAGTCTATAATCCTGTATAACGTTGATACAAAATAAAGACACGCGCTCTGAAAGTGAAATGAAAACGTGATGCATTAAATACGAACCGGTTGACAATTGCAGCACTTGACTTGAATGTTTGCTACTTTTAAACAAATGACAGTAACGTTTTCGATCATTCAGAGGTTACTGTATTATTCGTCCAAAAACATATGTCCAAATTAACATATCTGCTGATTCAGTAAATATGTCAATTATACTAATTTAACTTAAAAAAAAATACTGGACACAAGTATTTGATTATTGTAAAATATACATAAATGCAATTTTTCCAGCATCATGTCTATATGCACATCTTGAAAAAATTGCTTGATGATGAAAAGGCATGTAATTATTACGTATTCATGTGTACCTTTCAGCTGTCCTAGAGCATCGAGGGATATCAAGTCAAGAAATTCGCTCCTTTTTAGTAAAACTCGACCCCTACCACGAATTTGACCTGGTGCGTATTCCAATAACCTATCCAGAGATGACGTTTGACAACGTTAGAAATGGTAAGAATAAATGAAAGAATAGTATATCGTGTTTTTCCATTATTCAAACTATTGTTTATTATGCACTTTACATATATCTTACGTGTATTAAAATATTTTAAAATTGAATTGAAGATATTTCTATGTACTTTTCTCACTGCACGGAATTTCTGCCTTTGACTTAAGGTCACCTGAGTCATTTAGATGATCCATTGCTATCTGTTTCCAACCGTCGTCGTGCATTTTGGGTCCGACTTTCAGCTTCTTCTAACCAGTTTCAACCAATTTTATTATGAATCATCTATACGTAAAGGGAAACAAAAATGGTTAAATTTATACATGTAGTATCCGCCGCCCTGGCCAAAATCGCCACCTAAAAAGCTTCTTCTTCAATCAGTCGAGCTGTTGGCATCATTATAATATGCAATAAGCCCTATACCAAAGCTGTAAAGTTCATAATCCTTAGGAACAGTCACAGATTGGGACTAAGTTGAGTTCGATCTACCCTTCCTACACTGAATCCCTAAACTTCATAAAAATCCTCACAAGCAAAGATGCAAATGCTCTACCAAACCCCATTCCTTACTCCTTTCACAAATATTAATAACTGTTGTAAAGGATAAACTTCAGACGTACTGTGGAATAGCATCATCTAGAAGTGGTGGAAATCATATGTGGATTCTCAAAAATTCCAAAGAACTTTTAGAAATGTTAAAATCACCAACTTTTTTCTCAGTAAGTCAGTTACATAACAACCTACGAGTTTTCTACACTTTATACAAACATTCCTCCCGATAAATAAAAAAACAAGATTTTTTGATATCATAGACAACTGCTTCTTGAGTAAAAATGGAACTTGGAAATTTTCCTATCGTGATTGGTCACCAACAAAATTACTTTGTTAAAATCACTTTGATTCTACACAAAAGGACTCTGAAGTTGATGATAAAAGGATGCGGGAATTTCATACAATATTAATGTTGTCTTCGGAGACCAGATCTTCCAACAAGCTGCTGGAATACCGATGGGCACTAATTGTGTTTCTTGATTAGCCGACCTGTTTTTATTTTCATATAAAGCAGAATTTATTAAACATTACTACAAGAGAAGAAATAAACACTTGCTGTCGCCTCGAAGTCGATATTTAGATATATCGACAACGTTTTATCAATTAACAATAGTTATTTCCATTCATATGTCGACTCGATATATTCCAGTGAAGTTGAAATAAAAGACACCCAAGAGTCTGTCGCATCTGTTTCATAATTGGATATTTTACTGACTATAGACAATGAGGGACAACTAAAAACTAATCTGTATGACAATCGAGATGACTTCAACTTTTTCATTGTCAGCTTTCCTTATTTATGAAATTATATTGCGCTATCACCTGCGTATGGTGTTAACGTTTCCCAAATTATTCAATACTTGAGATCATGCTCTGGGTACGATCAATTTTTAAACTGAGGTAGGCTACTGATAGAATGTTGATGTCACAGGGATTTCAACAACCTTGTTTTAAGACAGCATTTTGTAAATTCTATGGACGTTATAATGACCCTTTTAGCAAATATAACCTATCATTGAGTCGAACTGTGGCTGACGTGTTTCATAATAATTGTTAGGTCTTTGCTTTTAAACTAAATTTGACTAAGAAATGGTCCATGTACCTGATCAATACATAGGGATCACGGCGGGTGTGACAGGTCTACAGGGGATATTTATTCCTCCTAGGCACCTGTTCCCACCTCTGGAATTTCTAGGGGTCCGTTTTCATGCCCTGTTCACAGATTTGTGATGTTTAGATTTTTTGAGATCGATTACTGTTCATTATTATTCACCTTTTTCGTTGGTATTTAATTGAAAATGCCATTGACTATGTGTTTAATGTTCAGGCTTCTAAATAGGCCTACCCGTAAGTCCGTCGTATATTGAAAATACATTAAAATTAAAAAAAAACTTCTTTACTTATGGACCTCAAGCAACTTGATTACAATGAGTACTAACCTCTTTGCCAATATTGTAAAATTCATAGTCCCTGGTTCAGATTTCAGGCCTTAGAGTGGGGTTATATTGGACCAAAATTATAAGATCCCTAGCTGATGGATCCAGTCCCCCAGGGTGTGGTTTGATTGGTCTTGTATTGATTTAACTTAAATTAATGGACACAGAAGAAAAAGTTTTTATGATTATAATGAGCAGTTATCCCTCTATCGCAATTATGAAATTAATGTCCCCAATGTCAAGGTTTATGCCCCAGGTTGAGGCTACGCTGGTCATAATATTGAAAATGCATTACATATTTGAAATTCTCATTGACTTTTGATTTTTTTCCAATTGATGCAGAGTTAAGGCCTCAGGGTTGATTCCAGCTATATACATGTATATGTGTGTCTAGAGATGAGACCTTGGTGGGCACTTTATTTTTAAGAATCTTTTTCTTTTCTACATCTAAAATCATGAATATGATAGTGAACAAAGAGTCTTCTACAAATGACACGCAATTGATACTAGATTAACTATCAAGGCCTTTGGGTCTCTTTTTTATGTTTAGATATCCATTTGTCCCCATTTCTTGACTAGAATGCCTTTTGTTTTCTTATGTTAAATTTGGTAGCAGATATTCTTATACGATTTGTACGACCGTATAAGATTAAATGATATTTCATAAAAAGAATCAAAAAGTATGTTTTTTGCTCCGAAATATGTTCAGAAAAATATGCACATGTATTTTGGTAGTGTCTCTTTCACAAGCTGTCTGATATTTTTATGAAATGAGGTATGGAGAAAGCATAAGGCATCATGTAGGATCAAACTTGAATGAAACAGTATATTCTTCAACTACAATAAAGTACAAAAGACAAACAAATAAAACAAACAAACAAACAAACAAAAAATACGAAAACTCTACGCTGTTGTGTCACAGTTAAATGCAATTATGTTAAATGTAAAAAAAGATGTGCTTTCAGGAGAAAAAACAAGGCTGAACCATTACGTATTCCTAGTCAGATTTTATACCAGTTCGACAAAGTTTTCAAAATAATATAAAAGTTAACAAAATTAATTTTGACCATTGCCGTCAAACTTACGTAAGATTAGTTATTAGATCACCAAAGATCAGCGTAGTGTGAGCGACAAATCGATTCCGAACTTGTGCTATGTCATTATGTCACTGGCGACACGCAACGTGAAAAAATGAAAAGTAAATTAATAATGAACTCTTAGTTGAACGAAGGGAAACCTTTCAAAGCAGAAACTTTGGGGAAAACATTGAAGGAACCTAGTTTGAATTTTGATTGATTGTATGTTGTTTAACGCCTCATCCGAGTTTTTCCCTTATCTACTGACGTCAACATATATGCCGGCAAAGGTCTTCAAATTAAGACCTATACTCGGCACTCAGAGCAAGTGAGCAGTGAAGGTTCTTTATCGTGCCAATGCCTACCGTGACACATGATCTCGGTTTAAAGTCTCATCCAAACACCTGTGACTTTCGCTTCTATGTTAACGTCTTAGGTTTGACGAGGCGCTGCGAACGAGAATCGAACTTGGTCTCCCGATCAGGTTCAATAAACGCTCTACCACTAGGCTACCGTGACTGTTCCAAGTTTTAAAGATCAAGCTATTATGACGTTTATATCAGAAATAAAATTCGCATTCGTTCCTTTTCCATGCTTGCATAAATGAACAATTTGCTATTTTGATAATTTGCAACCTAAAGTAAATGAATGTATTTCTAGCATTCTGAATACAAAGAAAAAATATTGACGTCATTAGATAAATCTTCTTTAACAAAGAGAACGTTTTTTTGTCTTAAGCCATGGTCACACCGAGAGACTCGGAGAATCTGGTTCTGTGAAGACAGCTTGATTACAATGCAAATAAGATTCTGCAATTGATTTTGTCATCAAAGGAAGTTGGTTATCAGATTGTCCTCGTCTTAAATGTCTTCGTTGCAAAACGAACCCAGTTAGAGGAAAAGTACCCTAAACTTCACTTTAGATATCAAAATGAGTGGATACATGTACCTGTTCAGATGAATGCAAGGAAACATTAGATTATTTTCATTTTTTTAAATAAAAGGGTACAGAAAATTTTCTAAAAATCATCGAAATCTTAATAAAGCGGAATAAAAATGCATGTCTTGTCACGTAATTTTCTTTTAATAAACCTAGGTCATCTGATTCGATTGTTTCACGATTGTTTTGTCTATTAGCATTTATCATTACTTACATTTATAGAGATGATATGTTTAAAATGTACATAATCTTGAATTCAAAAACAAAGGATTTGAATTGCATTGTTGTAGCCATGAACAAGGCGAGGATAATGAAATGTAACCAATTTCCTAAATGCTGTAAAGAATTCAAAACGTAAACAGAGCAAAACACGGACATGTTTGGACATTTGGAAACACCAGAGTGAGATCAGGTGCCTACATGTAGGAGGAGTAAGAACGCCTTGTCGACTGGTATATATAAAAACCGAGCGAGCCCTTTATATTCAGCTAGTAAATAGAATAATCAGTATTTAAACAATTAATGGTCTAACAATGGTATGGAACATGTCAGTCAAAAAACGATCCAATGATGAGATGTATTTGCAAACATATTCTTTTAACGACCATAAAATTTTCGAAATTATGACCATAAACAAGATTTTAAAAAAAACTGTAATTTCATATTATTTATCAGAAGCCTGACTCAGATTAAAAATTATTGTACTCAACACATGCTCTTACGTACCGAATCGGTTGGGCGACATTAAAACCATAACTATGCAAGTGATAGGAGACTATTACTAACTATATATATATATATATATATATATATATATATATATATATATATATATATATATATATATATATATATATATATATATATATACACACACACAAATGTTCAACCGTGAAGTTCAAAAAATATTTGAAAGGCCACAAGTTTTTATTATCTATTATAAAAGGTGCCAATCAATTATTCTGGAGACAAAATGTTATTAATTTTAATGATAGGTTTCACAGTCAAAAATTCTGGAAAAATATTAATACAATTTGCCGTATTTCTTATGTAGATGAAATTTTCTAAGAAATTAATGAAACTGGAAGTACAACTCAACGAAATTATGGAGGTATATAATTCACTAAGCTATTGGTGGATTTTACATATCTGATTGCGGAACGGTGTTCACTCTTTATCTTTTTATTAAGTTTCGAGCTGTTCGCGTGTTAATGTCTATTGCTTGAAATGTTTGTTTGTTCTAAATGAATTGCTAATGTAGGGAAATGGACATTATTTAACTTTATCACGTCATGTTCTTGGCTACAGTAGAAAATACCATCACCTAATAGCAATAATGCGACTACCTCGAAGTTATGTAATAGATCTTTCTAATATCTGCTAAATGTATCTGCAGTACTTAAAGAACTAATCGTATTACAGAAGTTTTTTAAAAAAGGAAAAAAAAGAGTATTTTGTCTTATAATTTCCTCCGTTTTTTCACAGCATCGATTTCTTGTCCTTTTGTCTTGTAAATGTGTCCATGTTCCACTTGCCTGATACATGTATCACTGGATGGATGTGATGTAAATGAGAAACTGTATCCTTTATGACAGTTTCATTCATTCATTCATTCAAACTCTGCACTATGATTACTAATAAGTCATATTGAGGAGTTTATTTAATAAATTAAAATCTGTTGGAAAAGGCAATTTAATGGCTAATGACCAATTCCTTAACCTTTTTCCAATCACCCGATGCAGGCCTGTTTTTTTCATAATAGATGGATTAAATTTATAAAGAATCTTGTTAATATTTTACCAGGTGTGAAGAGCTTATAGGTAAATATGTCATGAACTTTTTTGAAACATCTCAGATCTACACATTTTTGTGACCGTTCTCGGACATTCGTGCATTGTTACATTTTTCTGATTAACTGCACAATATACGTCAAAATACCATTTAATCAACTCATGTTAATGAATAAAAACTAATTTTAAGAAATAAGGCAGTATTTAAGTTGAATGCTTTCCAGACTCTGAAAATAAATTGAGCATTTTCAGATATAATATAGTTAGGTTATTGCCAAATTTTCTGACCATGTGTTTGTTAAGGAGAAAAAAGATTTTTGAAATGTTTGTATAATAGCACAGTTTAGTACCCAGTAGAGGAATTGCACTTCTAAGAATTGGTGGTGAGCTGACTTAAATACAAAGCCTTAATTTTACAGATAATCTCACTCAGGTTTTTGGTCATGTTTATTTTTCTGCAGCTACAGTGAGATGATAAATTTCGTTACATTACAATGTACAAGAAAAAGTGCATCAACACGGATGATAAATAAAAAGAAAATCGGTGAAATGTTATTGCAATAAGGTTCGTGTTTAGTAAAAGGAGCAGGTGATTAAACGATTTGAATATCTGCCTTTTAAACATAGAAACAATAAAACAAACCTCACGGATTTCTTCAGATACATTTATTCTGATAGTCAATGAAAATTCAAGGAAACCAGTAGGAGGTATTTTGATGATGTAGCAAAATACTTCATTGGATTAATTGGATTAAGTAAAATATCAGGGACATATTCAGATGGTTACATTTTTACTAAGTTCATTCATGCAACTTATTTTCATATAAGAGAATTTCTGATGTTAAGATTATTCATTCAGGAGTATTACATCAGTTTACTTTAGAAATCCTGCAAACTATACGAGTCGTGAACAGGGCAAAAACGGACCCCTTGAAACACTAGAGGTGGGATCAGGTACCTAGGAGGAGAAAGCAAACCATGTCAACCAGTCCTTATTGATCAGGTTATCGGAGTAGCCTTGGTCAAAATTGTTATAAAAGCAATGCTTTAATAATTTGTAGGAAATATATCAATCCTAATACGACCTAATGTTAGGTTGTATTTGCAAATGAGGTCATTGTAACGACAAGAGTTTTGCAAAATGCTGACATAATGAGAATGTAGAAAACCCTGAAACAGCAACGTATTTGGCAGTAGCTTGCTTCGGTTTAAAAAATTGATTGTACTGTGGACAAGCTCTTGCGTACGAAATCAGCTGAGAGACATTAACGCCACCTGTAGGTGATAGTGATTTATTACTACATGAATAGATGGAATTGAATTGTAAAAAATGTTGACGATGGGAAAGAAGACACCCCGTTTGTAATATTGTTCAGTTGTTATTTGGTCATTAATATCTGTAGTCAGTAAAACATTCAAATGTGAAACAGATCTGGTTGACTCTGTGTTTTATAGACAGATTGTTTGAAGACCTGGTCTCCAACGACTAAATTAATATCTTCAATGAGGAAATACCGGTCACGGTAGCTTAGTGGTAGAGTGCTCTAGTCGTGGTCGGAGGCAAGGAATCGATTCTCGTTCGCCGCGCACGATAAAGTACCCTAAATGCTCAATGGCCATGAGTGCCGAGTATAGGTCTAAACTTGCAGCCCTTCACTGGTATATGGTGAGTGAAAAATCTCAAATGAGACGATTCAATAATATACAATCAAAGAGGAACCCAAGCATTTTTATATACAAACTTCAGTGTACTAAGTCTTGTATTTTGAATCAGAATGAATTTTAACAATGTAATTTTGTAGAAGACCAATCACAAAATATGAAAATGTTTTTATTCAAAAGCAATTGTTTATGATGTCAAAAAACCTTGTCTTTAATTTCTTTGAGGAATGGTTGTAAAAAAAAATCGCTGAAAAGTTATCCGTTTTGCTGTTATTGGTTTGAGGGAAAACTGCAATTATATATGTTCTTTAAGAGTTTTTGAGAGAGCACCTTTAATTAACACCACTTCTTCAATATTTTGTAGTGCAGTACGCCTAGACTCTCTCCTTCACAGTAACCTGACATATAGATAATGTACCTCACTCCAACCCTTTCTAAGATTTTTTTTCAAACACGATAACATAAAATACATGAGTTCTTAGCCTATTATGTCTTTATTTTGCTATCTTCTTTTGTGTTTTCCTTAATAGTTTATGCCTATATATTCATTGTTTGAATAAAGGGTATTTAAAAGTAACATATTTTATGGATATACAAAAGTAAGGTGGGTAGAATAAACTATCGTAAAGAACAGTGACATAATCGTGGCTTCTTTCATTATGCACCAACTTTAGAAGAATGGCATTCTTTCTTGAAGGATCGGGTCCCAAGGGGACAATCAAGTACCATTTGCATGATCGCCTCAAGCGACGTGATATTTCCTAGAACTACCATTAAAGTGCATTTGATATTAGTAAGGGTATTGATATCTCACAGCTTTACAATTCAAGTAAATATTTCATGGCATGGATTTAATGTTATAACAATAGACTTGCCTTCAGTTTCACTTTTCAAATGGTACAGAGAGCTGTAACATTAACTAGATAGGTAAAGTTCTTAACATCAGATCTATTGATACTTTTTGTCAATGCAAAACTTATCAAATGTTCAGAAACTTTGTGCTCTCCATAAAAAAAACATTTTGTAAATGAAAAATCAATGACCGACGCTGGCGCAAAACATGACAAAGGACTGGGTAAATAAAATTCATTTAATGCAGCCGAGATACGTACGGTACATTAGTACAGTTATACACTTTGATCTGCATGAAATTTGAAATTCTCAATCTTTTAAATGAATCGTTTACTATTAATCTAAATTATAGAAATGAATCGCACTTTTTAATATCTTAAATTGTTTCTACAATCGAAAATTGTTCAAACAAAGAACTTCAACAAACATCGAAGATGCACAGTTGAATTTTCATCCTTTCACAAATACATATGTAAGTATGTAAGAAAGAAAGTACATTAAACAAATTAAGAATGAGCAAAATTTGAAAAGATAATGACAATATCTACCAAACCGCAATCCTGATGGTGTTTCACCTTTATATACTAACCATTCACAATAAGCTGAGAGCTTAAGGTATTACTAACACATTGTTTTCATTGTAGCTTCTAACTTCATCAGCAAACAGAATATCTCAGCTATCATTGGAACATACAGTGAAATATATAATCATGCAACCTGCTATCAAAGAGTACCCTATATCGTCACATCCGGTCTCCCTCATGACGTCATGGAGAGTCCTTTCTTGTTAAACATTTTACCTGGGATCTATAGTTATGCTTTGGCAATCAATGACATTGTGACGTATTTTGGCTGGAAGAGAGTTGCTGTCATCTACGACTGGGAAGAAGGTAGAAGAGAGAGTGATTTCTTACGTTTTTTAATAACAAGCTAAATAAACGTCATGCTTAAAGTGAAATTAAAGGCAACATTAACATTACGTGTAACAAAACCTGCTACAAATAGATTGTAAAATACAATATTTTTTATTTCATGCATGTTAACCATGATTTCTCGCTGTCTCCTATAAATAAATATGTTATGATTTACCAGTAGTAAATACAGCCAATAGAATTCCGGAAAATAATGATTTAAATAACATTTTGCTTGTAGATTAAAACATCATGCTTGTAGATCTCCGCTTAACATTAACTAGTTTTGTTTTGCAGATATATTGCCTCTTCACATGTTTCGTGAGTGAAGTTGAAATCCTTAGAGAAATGTTTGCATTTGCATGCCAATTTTTAAAAATATCCAATGGTACATTTTTATTCGCCTATTCGTTTGAATATAACAAAATATATTTCTGAGATTGAGAAGGGTAAATGATACTGTTTTATTATCTGCATGAATTTGGAAGATTTAAATAGATTAGCACCCATCCATGCTGCTCTTATTTCAATCTTATTATTTCATAGTCGCAATATTTTATAACCCATAGTAGTGAGAGTTTAAGTTTAGATTTGCTCACGACTATTCACCAGAAAACTTTATTAAACTGAAATCAAAGATAGCATGAAAAAAAAAATTCTGAATGTTTTCCCCCCAAAAATACACACATTTTCCAGCCTCTCAAATCATTTTTCTCCTTTTTTTATCAAGCAGAACCAATTACGTCATTTTGGCATGATAATTATCCCGAATAATCCTCCTTTTATTACCGTTGTGTTAAGCCAAAAATTTTAATGAATGCTATTTTAAGGCAGATATAATATTATATTATATTATATTCAGCTTTATTTCTGTGAGTTTTAGATATTAGCAAAGTGTCCTGTTTTATAACAGACAGCTGTGGTACGATATTTATTGTTGGTTTTGTGTGTATGGTTAAGCGTGTAGTCTTGTAGTGTAGTAACAATTGGTAAAAACAACTGTGTACAGATCGTTCACTCAAAGAGTTATATACTCTCACTACTCTTGTGGCTTGGTGACAAGTAGCACAGATAAATTGAGTTGTTCTGAAATTGTGTGCAAACGGTTGGTATTTCACGGTCTGTCTCGTAGTAGTCTAGTCTTGATCATTAAGACGCTTTGACTCTATAGCGGTTTGTGTACTAAATACAAACGTCTGAATGATCGAGACTAGTAAGTGTTACTGTATCATGATATCTGACAGAGAAAATGTCATTACTGTTTTATCATTAGTCTGTTGAATGTTCTTAAGAGCAGTCGGTCTCCAACAACTGGATTTTCTTTTTAACCCTCGTAGTGTGACCTACTACCTTATAAGCATACATGAAATATGGAGATAACGAACAGTATTCAAGATCAACGTCCATTAAAACAATACAAATCGGGAGCAGAGCAAACATGGACCCCCAGAAACATCAGAGGTGGGATCAGGTGCCATTGAGGAGTGACCATCCCCTGCCGACCTGTCACACCCACCGTGTGCTCCTTGTCATAATTCGGAAATAACAGGAAAATCTGTCGACAATTCAGTGTGAAAAGAATGGCCTAACATTTAGTATGAAAAACGTCAGTCAGCATATGACTTAATGATAGATTGTATTTGCTCACAAGGTCATTGTATCGACCATAGAACTAACATGTACGAAATGACAATTTTAAACAAGACTGTTGATATTCTTGTTTCATTAGCTTGTTTGTCAATAACTTAACTCGTTTCAGAAATTGTTCATACGTAGAGCATGCTCTTACGTATCGAATCAACTGAGATATGAACCAGTATGCAGGTGATAAGGGTATATTGCTGCGTAAGTAAGGGAAGTTGACGATTGAAAAGTTAGTCATCATGTTTATCCTAAAGCTTTGTTGTTAGATTACAATTAACGTCTTTTTCTAATAAAATATCCAAATATGAAACAGATGAAACAGTAATGTGTTTGATCAGTCGTCAACACCTTTACCACAATCAGAATTATTAGGACTACTTGTTAGAAATTCCGGGAAAAATAAACTTCCACCCACAACTGATCACGTCGTTTTAATGAAGTTGTGAAATTTTTCAGTTGTCTTGTAAATAAAGTTCATAGAATAATTTGTTATTATGACTATAGTGGCTATTGTAAACATGAACTCTAGTACATACATGTAAAATAACAATGGGGGGGGGGGGGGGTAAGGAATAAATGAAGGATCCTTTTCTTGCTGCTGGTTCCATCTTTAGATGATGAACGTTTCAGCTAAAATTCAAACTCATGAAACAAATTACTATCTTGAAAGAGATGTAATTAATGAATTTAATTGCAGCCTATAGGCAAGGTGGTGTATATTGCTTTTTTTCATATATAATTTTACATATAAAGTTGCTTTGCAAATTTTATTAATAAACACATTTTTATGTTTTCTCAGGTCCTCCAATAATGTCTTTGCTGGTTGATAGGCATCCAACAGACCTTAAAGCATATAACATACGTCATAATACGTCAGGAGCCTACGTCAGGGGAGTCCTGCGGGATCTCCGCAACAGATTCATCGACCGAATAATAGTTATTTGCTCATCAGTCGATACAAACATTGTTTTAACCCAGGTAATGATAAGTTTGTTGTGTCTCTAGTATTCTATTGACAGTTATGCTCAACACTTATTAAAACAGGTTATAAATTTGTAAGACAAATATTTGGTTACAAAGTTATGATTATTCTTCCTCATTTTTGTTTGTTTTAGGCTTTGTATCTGAGCCTCCTCTCCCGTCCATATGAATGGCTGATTGCAAATGTGGTATGTGTGCTTTTATTTTGTTCATTAAACAGCATTATAAAATGCTTTACTGATAAAATCAATCATATAATTCTTTGTATCCAGAATCTGTGAAATTTCAAATTATTCCGACTCTAAAATATCAGTGTGTGATATTTGATAGCAATATTTAAGGAGGTTGGATTCTGCCATTAAATTATCACATTAAAATTTGTCACAACGAAGAAATTTCAAATTACTCCGCGTGTTCAATTATTTGACCTTTTTGCACTCAAAATTTTCATTTTCCTGGCATTAAAAATTTAACAAGCAAAAGAATCATTTGGAAGTAATGACATTTTACTGAATTTAAGAAAAATGGTTAAAAGTATCGTATATATTCAGAAAAGAAAATCAAAAGTGGGGGTCTGTGATGTTAATTTTCAGATATTACTAAAAAAGTGCAAATTTTAAGCTTAAATTAGGGCTATTTTTTCCTTCATTTTCACAATATATTTGCTATATTTATCAAATATGATGATAGAATTCATGACAGTTTATTTAATAGATAATTTAGGACCAATATAAAACAGTCCACTGCACAAAATAACTATGTGTGCAGACTGCATGTAAAAATAGGAATCCAAACTTAGCATACTTTAATACTTCGAACGAGAAAAAATGATCATTTTCTTCTAAAAAAACCTTCCGCCACAAAATATAGTTCCTCACTTAATGCTTTTGGTATGGAATTTAATCATGGAGTTTTAACTGAATATAGTTAAATTGGCATTGTAGAATCCAAATTTATTGTAAGAATTAAAACATTATGCAGAATTTTTGAAATATAGGTTAGGATAAAAATCTGCTCAAAAGCTCAGGAGCGAACCTCCTTAAGTTAAATGTTACACTATGGTAACCAAATAACTATATAGGAAAATCTAATACTTCAACATATTGATTATAATTTTAGGTTCATTGTGTATTATATTTTTCTGTGTCATTTGAGAACTTAAAAACATATGAGCATGTGGGCTTTGTACCTAGCCCTGTGTTAAATAAAGCTACTGATCAAATCTTGCCAAAACAACTAAAACATGCTAATTATAAATGTAAAGTATATCAAATCTTCATTATTTTGTCAGATGAGGCTTTATAACACATCATTCGAGGAAAGCAACTTTGTTAGGTGGACAGTATTTAGTTTAACGTCCTGTAAATTATCTTGATAAGTTGAAGTGTTAAATTTAAACCCACAAATTGAAGATAAGGAACAGTGATCGATCTCATATATCCTGTAAAACAATACAAATCGCGAAAAGTGCAAAAGCACAGAGGTAAGATCAGGTGCCTAGGAGGAGTTATCATCCTCTGTTGACTGTTCGAACCCGTGAGTCCTCTGTATTGATTAGGTAAACATCAGAGGTAAGATCAGGTGCCTATAGCTAGAAGTAAGCATCACTGTTTGAACCCGTGAGTCCTCTCTATTGATTAGGTAAACATCAGAGGTAAGATCAGGTGCCTATAGCTAGAAGTAAGCATACTCTGTCGACTGTTTGAACCCGTGAGTCCTCTGTATTGATTAGGTAAACATCAGAGGTAAGATCAGGTGCCTAGGAGGAGTAAGCATCCTCTGTTGACTGTTCGAATTCGTGAGTCCTCTGTATTGATTAGGTAAACATCAGATGTAAGATTAGGTGCCTATAGCTAGAAGTGAGCATCCTCTGTCAACTGTTTGAACCCGTGAGTCCTCTGTATTGATTAGGTAAACATCAGAGGTAAGATCAGGTGCCTATAGCTAGACGTAAGCATACTCTGTCGACTGTTTGAACCCGTGAGTCCTCTGTATTGATTAGGTAAACATCAGAGGTAAGATCAGGTGTCTATAGCTAGAAGTAAGCATCCTCTGTCGACTGTTTGAACCCGTGAGTCCTCTGTATTGATAAGGTAAACATCAGAGGTAAGATCAGGTGCCTAGGAGGAGTAAGCATCCTCTGTTGACTGTTTGAACCCGTGAGTCCTCTGTATTGATTAGGTAAACATCAGAGGTAAGATCAGGTGCCTAGGAGGAATAAGCATCCTCTGTCGACTGTTTGAACCCGTGAGTCCTCTGTATTGATTAGGTAAACATCAGAGGTAAGATCAGGTGCCTAGGAGAAGTAAGCATCCTCTGTCGACTGTTTGAACCCGTGAGTCCTCTGTATTGATTAGGTAAACATCAGAGGTAAGATCAAGTGCCTATAGCTAGAAGTAAGCATACTCTGTCGACTGTTTGAACCCGTGAGTCCTCTGTATTGATTAGGTAAACATCAGAGGTAAGATCAGGTGCCTAGGAGGAGTAAGCATCCTCTGTTGACTGTTTGAACCCGTGAGTCCTCTGTATTGATTAGGTAAACATCAGAGGTAAGATCAGGTGCCTAGGAGGAGTAAGCATCCTCTGTCGACTGTTTGAACCCGTGAGACCTCTGTATTGATTAGGTAAACATCAGAGGTAAGATCATGTGCCTAGGAGGAATAAGCATCCTCTGTCGACTGTTTGAACCCGTGAGTCCTCTGTATTGATTAGGTAAACATCAGAGGTAAGATCAGGTGCCTATAGCTAGACGTAAGCATACTCTGTCGACTGTTTGAACCCGTGAGTCCTCTGTATTGATTAGGTAAACATCAGAGGTAAGATCAGGTGCCTAGGAGGAGTAAGCATCCTCTGTCGACTGTTTGAACCCGTGAGTCCTCTGTATTGATTAGGTAAACATCAGAGGTAAGATCAGGTGCCTAGGAGGAGTAAGCATCCTCTGTCGACTGTTTGAACCCGCGAGTCCTCTGTATTGATTAGGTAAACGGAATAATCTTAAGTCAAAATAAATATGAAAACAATGATTTATCAATTACTATGAAACATATCAGTCAAAGAATTAGCGAAATGCGGACTTTAAAAGAGATTACAGTAATCCCTGTAACATCAACTTTACCTCGGTTTTCGAATTGATCGTATTCAGAGCATGCTCTAGCGTACCGATGAAATTGGGAGACATAATGTCATGTGCAGGTGATACTAGAATATTACTGCATATATAGGGGAAGTGGACGGACGATGAAAAAGCTTAAGTCGTCACGTTTGTCATATAGTTTAATTATTAGTTGGACACGAACATAAATAAAACAAAATACAGATGTAGGAGACTGGTGTGTCTTTTTAGTTTGAGTTCACTGGGATATATCTTGTCGAAAATGAAATAAAATTAACCATTGTGAATTTATTTAATGCGTCGATATTTGTAAATCTCCATTGAAAGCCGAGATTTCTTATCATGTAGAGGTAGTCGTTTTAGGGGGAAAAATCTGCTTCATAAGGATATAAGAAACAGGCCGGCTTAGAGCACAATTAATGCCCATTAGAATTCCAATAAGTTGTCGGAAGACCAGGTCTCCAGGAACAACAGCATTGTCAGTGGGGAACTCAAGCATCTATTAACAGGATTTTCAGATCAGAGTATATACGTGTAATTTTATGTAGAATTAAATTGATTTTTTTTAAAAAAGAAACTTTGTAAATGACAAAACTCAAAACTTCAGAGTTTCAATTTATTAAGAATGTATTTATAAAAGAAACAGTTGTCTATGATGTCAAAAAATCTGGTCTTTAATATACCGTGAGGAATGGCTGCATAAAAATTTAAAGGTATACTTGTTGATGCTTTTCATTTTGGAAAAAAAAGGTAATTTTAAATTTTCTTTAAAAAAAAAATTCTTGCTGTGTTTGAGATTTTAATTTACAACATATCTTGATTATGTTGTTGCCATGATTCTCCTTTGCAGCAGTTAATATTTTTGTGAGGAGTAAAGATAGGGGCTTTGTGGAACATTTACTAGATATGGAAATGCAATTTTATTGATAAGGAATCTTGTAATATTTTGGAATCCAGTTTAGGTACGGTAACTCAAATTCATTACCGTTGACTGGAATGTTAATAATCAAGTATTTCAAACTTAAACGTGATTTTGTAGAATTTCATCCTTTGAAGGGGAATAATGAGAATAAGTTGGGTTGCCAGATGAGGAATAAAATCCAAGTTCTACTAAAATGCTACTTATTAACCTTTCAAACAAAAGCTATATTGTTACAGGCTTTGTCAGATGGAACCATAACCACATCGTCCATGTAGTCATTCTAATTCTTTTATCACTTTCGAAGGATAAAATGAAATGACAGATATGAAGTTTTGTCGAGATTTGAAATTTCAATGTATACGATTTTTTTTTCATTAAATCTTGACAAGAAAATAATGTTTCGTAAACAGTTTTGTTTAGAATGAAATGCACTTCAAAAGATCCCGTGTGGTCACAAAAGGCAGAAGGACAGGACTTCACTTAAATTTGAAAGTAGATCCTTTATAATGTTATAAGAATTATATCTTTTATTTTGTGACAAGATGTTTTGCCGATGGTTTAATTGAATTAAGATATAACATGTAAAAATCTCTATTCCTAATTAAATTATTAATTACATTACAAAGATTTTGATAGCATTAGAGATATATTATATTGCTTGATATAAATTTATAGTCAATTTCCAGGATGAATATTAATGCTTTTGTTTTGTTTTTATTTTTTTCGGAAGGGATATGAAACGATATATAACTTTATTGATTTCAGATAAATTATGATGCAAGTTTATGATACTCTTGTTTTGAGGTTAGAAATTAATTCAACTAAAAGCTGTTTATCTGCTTTTGTGACAAGTTATATTCCTTATCTTTGATTGCAAGAAATGGCCATGAACAGGAAAAGTAAGGCACCAAAAAACGGGAATAGATAATCTTCTAGTAATGCTGTTCATCTTTGTACCTCGTCTCCCAGAAATAATCGACAGCCCACTGACAGTCATTTAAGTACAAGTTGTCGTGTGAATTGTACTCACCTTATACAACAGATTATAGAATGCGGTTATCTGGTCATAATGCGTTTTACTCATCATCCCTTTATACCGGAATCAATTCTTATCTGACGAGTACTTCAATATGCGCAGTCTTTCAATCTAAATTTATAATGTTTTAGCAAATTGTAACCATTAGTAGAATAGTAGATCTCATCTGCGATTTTATTTTCAAATGCCATTAACTGGTACTTTCTTGGCGATTTAATGGCTGTATTGACAATTTGAATGTACTTTCTAAAGGTAAACATTGCAATCAGCGGTATGAGTTTTCTGCGTAACCCAGGCTTCTATGCAAGGCTTAATGAAAAGTACCTCTTACTAAGTAATTAAATAACTTGATATTTTATCAGGCAAGTTATTTTATCAGGGGACAGACGTGGCAGTCTTAGATGATTACCTAGATTCCCGTGTTAACCTGACGTCACTTCTACTGATGATCAACAGTAACCCGGATGATTGTGCCTTGGAGAAGGGGAACGTATCTCTGTCTAATGCCGTCCTTCATGACGCTTTCAAGATTTACATGAACATTCTAGAAGAACATGTCAACAAAAACAGACTACAGATGAGGAAGGCTTTACGAAATGTACTTGGGAGAATCCATTTTATTTGAGTTTGAAATGCTTTAATTCTTTGATTTTGAGAATATTTTTATTTCTTTATATTCAATCATGCATACCCAATCCTTCCCATTTTGACCTCTTACTAATTTTGTCAATCTTTTCCAGAAAGATTTAGACTTGCGAAATGTGAGCAAAAATTTTCTATGAAGAGCACATAAATGTTGTTATGTATCAAACACCCTTTTTTCCTATTTTTCATTATCTCACAGTTTCTTTACAGCCTCCGAATGCATAAACTGAACAATTTATTGTCAGTTTGCACGACAATCATTTAGATCAGAAGCATGCAAAATCTACCACCTCTCCTTTACATGCAGCTATTATTGTTTGTTTCATGTTAGACTAATTCATTTAATTTATTCTTGCCCTACATACAACATACTGAAATAAGATACAATGTACATATACTTTTAATCATACTCCTTTTGTCATTCATTTCTGGTAGGATTTCAAAGTAACATCCGGTCTTTTGATTGATGCTTTATGTGTTTTGTCTATCAGTACGTCCTATCCCTAAAAAAATACTATAGTTAACTATAGTTTACCATAGTATCAAAGTTTTTTTTTGTACTATAGTAAATCAAAGTATTTCCATTATGGATTTCAGATTGTTATATGTTTTGTTCTTCAATTCATACATGCACATTTTTTATATTAATGGAACTACTATTGTATATTCAAATATTATTTCCAAATTTTACTACATTGTTATCGAATTTAAGAGATTTTAGGCTTTGAAATCTCAAAAAAAAAGTTCCAAAGATTCAGAGTAAATCAAAGTTTTTCTTTAATTAACTATAGTATTTTGTTTATTAGGGATATGCTCTTATATCTTACATTAAGTAAATCAGGCTGAAAGTTTTCAAATACCACCATATATGTTGACCCTGGCCTTTAACGGTAGTTTGATAAATCTGGTTACTACTTTTTAATACAGTATTTTTTTTATTTTACTTTTGTGATAAGAATTGATGAAATATATTGGTTAAGATTATTCCAATAAAGATACAATTTTCTGTATATACAGTCATTTTGGTACAAAAGTTTTCTAAGAGTTTCTCTATACGATTGTTTCAAACTTCCATATGATGATATACTAGTATTTTATGGTGATTTATTAAGGTTAAAATACCTTCATTTTTTAATACAATACTCCTTTTATATATCAAAGACTTAAAAAAAATCTTTTTACTTGTGACAAGAAAATAAAAGATTGGTACGACTAAACTAAATTTAGATGATATTATAAGGAGTTTCAAATATCATCGTATGGATTAATATTTTCTCTAATATACGAAATGTTTACATAACGTCTTACAAAGCAGGATGTGTTGACTGAATTACATAAAACAACCATTTACCCTGACACTTCACCTCATTATTGGCCTAGGCTCTAGGGTTTGACTTTGAGATTAGAGAGTTACAGGCACTGAGTTGTGGTTGTAGGTAGTTTGTAAAATATTTTATCTTTATATCTAATGTATACTAGATTAATTAAGATTAATATTTTGAATACCCATTTGTGTGCTGACCTTTAACATTTAATCTAGTTTAATACTTTGTAAAGATGGGTCTCGTCTTAAGTTTTTTTTTTATTGAGCACATTATTTAGGACTGATCACAAACATGATATTTTCATTTTATCAAATTTCAGTTTCTTAACAATCCAGCCATTCCTCTCGTCTTAAAAATTTCTTTTTTTTTCTATTTCTTTTACTTGCATGATTTGCTTAAAAACTAAAGTCCTTAACAAATAAAATATCAACATATTGATTTTAAAAACAAGTTTTTAAAACAAGTCAAAATTTATTTAATTGCTCATTAGGAAATGATTTCAAGACCATTATAATGAGGACATGTAACTAGATATATATTTTGGTGTATTTTTGTAGATACGTGTTGATGGCTGCACTGGTAAACTCTCCTTTTCAAAACTGGGTGTTAGAAATGAGACTTATCTCCAGCTAAAATCTCTGGCAACCGATCGAGATGGAATGGTGAGTAGGTCCTTCAATTATCTCAAAATGTTTCGATCTGAAGAAATGACAGAATTGTTAGGCAAGCATATGTCTGTATCTGTAAACATTTACATTTTGATAAAGCATTATTAGAAGTGAATAACAGAATCGAAACCATGATATACTTGTATATACAATTGTAGGTATTCAATTTTTATATGTACAAAATAAACGATTTATGAAAAGCAACTCACTATCTATGGTCATAAGCAATCTAAAGAAATTAAAAAAATGAATATTGATATTTAAAGATTAAATTTTTCTTATGTTGAATAAATGTGATAATGCTAAATATTCTGGAGAATGATTGTTGTGTTTTAGTGTTGTTAGATGTAACTTTGCTATATATATATATACTAATACACTGTACACAGAATGATATGGTGAACGACTGTTGTACATATATCTCCTACATTCAAAAGTTATGATTTTTTCAGAAATGGATTGCAAAATATATTCTTTAAGTATATATGGAGTGTAAAATATATACAAAAATGTATTGAATGTATGTTTGGTGTCATGTACGTGTACTTGGACGTCCTTAATGAAAAAGCAACGAAAGCATCGACTTTTTTCTATCCATGTGTTTTGTTAACGCTTTTTAATTATACATTTTTATATAAACTTGACAAGATGCATGATGTGTTTTTTGGCGCACCTGCTTCTGTTATTGTCTGTCTGAATGCACAACTGACTCTGCGCTTTTTCTGTCAATTTGACAGACATATTTATTTCAGTATGGGACTTGGAGGAGCGGCAAAGAGCGGTTATTGGAACGAATTCAGCCGTCGCACACATACAGGTCAATGATGAACAAGGACAACGAGAATGTATTTACAGATAATAGAATTAGAGTCACAACTAAACTGGTTAGTCCCTATCCATAATGAATATTGCAGTCTATTTGTTATCTACAGCAATTTTGTGTTTTCTTCAATTGTAAGGACTATATATTTTGTCACAGAGTTTTTAGGGACTCCTAGATAAAGTAGATAAAGTCGAGAATCTAGGGTAAAAAAAATCAGCACATGGAAAACGACATCAAACGTGATTATTAGCGTAATGAAAAGTTATTGTTCAAATATCCTGGCAAAGGTATTAAGATATTGCTTTCTTCCAAGTCCTCTGCTAGGAATAAAAAGGTTTTGGGGTGATTTTTTTGTGAATATTCAACTCAATACAAGTATTAAGCCCATTATACAATGCATAGATGAAGAATAAGTTTAAATGCATTAATAATAGAAAAATGGTTAGTGTATTCAGTTGGCAAAAAAATTAAAATTGATCATAGGGATTTTAAATTTTTAGTAGCAATATTAAAAAAATGTCTATAAAATATATGTCAAAGAACAGGACGTGTAAAATGCTAAATGTGTTTTTAATATTATTATTCATATTATTTAAATAAAACCAAGAATAAGGGGAGTTAGAACTTTAAAATACTGAGGGGTTACATCTAGTATTGCTACTGCTGTTACCAGTTTTATGTCTTTGATTTTATACCACAGGAGGAACCCTTTGTTCAGTGGAAAAATGATTCCGGGGGTGGTAATAAGACTACAGATATCGGGGACCAGCTCGAAGGATTTCTTATAAGTATATTCGAGAAGTTGGCAGAGGATTTAGGATTTTCTTTCAACATAAGCTTAGTACCAGACGGAAAGTATGGGAGCTACAAAGGCAAAGTACGAGGCTGGACGGGAATGGTCCGGCAACTCTTAGATAATGTAAATATTCCATATATAATATTCTTCTGATTAAAAATTGCCAAACATATGACTAATCTAGAGATATTGAATCTATCAATAGAGAGAATATAATATTTTCTTTTTACTTTTTCAGAAGGCTGATATTGCTTTGGCACCTTTCCAAATAACTCCCTCCCGTTCTAGAGTTGTCGACTTCCCAAAACCATTTATGACAAAAGGAACCAGTTTAGTAGTTAGAAAACCTGAGAGGAGTGTATCCCCTTTCCAATTTCTTATGCCTTTATCCCATGTTGTGTGGATTAATATTTTTGTGGCATATATATTCACTGCTTTAATGCTTTTTGGTGTGAGTCGTGTGAACTGTGATAAGCATGAAAGCTGTTTGAACAACTTTCGGGAGAGTTTCTGGTATATATGGGGAACTCTGTTACGAGGAAATTTGACACAATCCCCTACTGGTATATCAAGCCGGATAGTCAGCAGTGCATGGTGGTTTTTTTCTTTAATTGTGATTTCAGTTTATACAGCTAATTTAGCGGCTTTTCTGACCATTTCTAATGCTCACATACCTATCACCTCTGCTGCTGATCTTCCAAAACAGAATGATTACAATTATGGTACTGTAGAAGGAAGCCAAATAGAAAACTTCTTCAGCCAAACAAACATTAGTCACTATCAAGCTATGTATGCTCATATGAAAATAACAGAGGGAGCTATTGTAAGGAGAGTGGAAGATGGTTTCCAGAAAGTCCGCACAGAAAAATATGCCTTTCTTTGGGACTCCCCTATAATCCGTCATGCAATTTCTACTGATTGTAACTTGATGGAGATAGGGAGTCCATTTGACCTGAAGGGCTATGGCATGGCAGCACGAAAACATTCACCGCTAACTGAAAAGCTCTCTCTTGGAATTTTGAAATTAAACGATAATGGAGAGTTGTACAAACTGGAAGGAAAGTAAGTGTTGTCTTCATATAAACACTTTGAAAAGGTGTAGTTATCATATTTTTTATGGAGTACATTCCATTGTTTCATCAATATTTCATTGATGATTTTCCAACTTCCATTTTTTTCATATCTTTTAAACCAGCATAGCTAAGCTTAAGGATGATGTTTACTCAGCTTTTTGTTGTCAGAAACGGAATGCTATAACGTATAAGATGTTATCAATTTAGAATTTAACATTTTCTTATTTGAAGAAAATATGCAAGCGTATAAGTAAATTTATGGTGAAGCAGAGGATATTCTGACTGAATGTTAATTTTTCATTATTTACACATTGTTTTTCTTGCAATATTGTTCATTAAGTTATGATTTTATGTTAATTTCAACACCATTTTTCAAACTCTTTTTTTTTTCATTTTTGTGTGTTAATACTCGAACATTTTTTCAAATAATTGAATGGCATGCAATGAAGAATTTCAAAAATACGAACAAAGTCAATCCAGACAACAAATCTCAAGAGTTTGATCATTCGTCTCTTATAATCTAAATACCAACAAAACAAGGGCAATTAAAGTAAATTGAGATTGTTAATAGAGTAGAGGCTTATCATAAAAATGGTTAAAAATTAGATAATTGACAGAGGAAATCTGAATCGAATAAGTAAAACATTTAAACTTTGAACTGTTATTGTTTATTAATATTTAGCAGAACTATTCCATTTATATAAATTTCATTATTCAACGAGTTTTGTTGCTTATATTTTGTTAATAAAAAAGATATTGATTATAATGTTAAAAAAGAAAAAAAAAGAAAAAAAGAGGGATTTTCCGAGAAATATTCAGGGGCCACCAGCATAATATGTAGGTCATTGTTCTAGTTATTTGAAAGTGAATAATAACACTACAATGCTAGGTCTAGAATGCACAATAGGTGGTTTTTCATTCTTCTCAGTGGAAAGTTTTGGTCATCTGAGTAAACGTAATCCTTATGTGTTTTGAATTCTAACAAAGTACAACTTTGTAAATAAAATGTAAGATAATTGTAAACGGAGAGAGATATATGCTTGCTAGATTTTGTCAAAGTATATTTGCTCTTTATAATTCTGATGTTTCAAGAATGTGAAGACTCTACTTTTCCAAAAGTAAGATAGTACAAAAGCAATTATTCTGAAAAATGAATAAAAAGGTTCTTTTGATTGTCATAGTGCTGAAACATATAATTAAATTTCAAGTCTTAACAATAGTAAGGTACGATGACATTTCTGTTACTTATTTGCCGATATATATATATATATATATATATATATATATATATATATATATATATATATATATATATATATATATATATAATTTGCACTCAAATTCGTTGTACACAATCTGATTTGAGCCCTCCTTTGCTGGGTCTGCCATTAAATTAACAGTCAGTATTCAGACCTCAGTCCCTTTGATTCAAAGAGCTCATTGACTTGTATTATATTCTTTTCTGGTAGTTGCCAGTCGATGAACTGTTGGCTTTTAAAGCTGAGATGAGAGTGTGGTGAGGGACAGCATTGATAATGTAATTTTTGACACTTTTCACTGAGAGCCCCCAGGAGACGCTGTTTTAGATTCATAGGCTTTTTGGATTTTTTTTATTTGTCCCGAGTTCATCTTTCTCGAAGCTTGTAAATGTCATGGAAAAATCTTTTCGTCACACACTAATGTAACGTTATTTTACAAAACAACAGTTGGATATATGTTGAACATAAAATAACTGAGGGCACATCTTTAGTTATGAACTTGATCGTAGAATTCCTTTGGAGAATGACTTTTAAAAAATTAGATACAACTCTGTAATGCAATATACTGAATGTTTGAAATCTGTGACTCGCACTGACTCAAGACAACGAATTACTAGTTATTAGGATAATGATATAACTTTGGTTGTAAAGAGATGTCCAATTTATTTTTCATTTATGTAACTTGTTTCCAGTGAGTAAAACATAACCTTTATCATTTAGATGGTTTGGAATTCCTACCTGTCCAGACCCCCGTTCCAGCGCAAAGAGCCAAGAGATTAAAATGGGCGTGGCCTCTGGAATGTTTTATGTTTTGACTGGAGGCCTTGTCCTTGCTTGTTTTGTATTCATCATACAATTGTTGTATCATAAACGTTCCAAAAACCTAGCGCGAGAAAACAAACAAGAGGTATTGTCTCGTATCATTTTTTTCATATTTGTTTAAAAAATTTGCAATAGATCTAAGAAAATGTCTTAATATGTCCAAAATGTGACAGGATATTATTTCAAATTTAATTCAAGAAATTTTTAGATTAAGAAAGAATTTGGATCGATTTGGCTTTGAGATACATATAACACTTCATAAAAGATAGAGAACTTTCGGAAAATAAACATTGTTGAGTGGTTATCCAAATGAAATTTTAAATTTCGGTGGATGAGGGATTTAATTCGTGTGTCTTTTCACACCTCTAAATCAACGAAAATCAACCCCCACGAAAATTAGTTTATTCACAGTAATGTTGTGAGAATTTCAATACAAAGAATGTTTAAGAGGGCTGGGTGGTCGTGGCCATTTTTAGACTATATTGATCTCCTTTAGAAGAAGAGCTCCATATAAAGATATACAAAAGTGATCAAATTTTAAAACTAAAATGTATGATTTTTTTTCTTTGCCAAATGATAGTTGACAGCTTAAGATATCATATCTTAAAAAATAAGTTATATCTGATGGTTAATTTGTTGACCCCCCAGCCTCCTTAAATATTTATAATTCTTACTATCTGAAGGTTGACATTGTAATCACAGATTCCTTTCATTATTTCAGCAAAATAAGGCAGAAGAAAACAATGTTCATAATCACACGGACAGAAATACCTCTTCAGAACTCGGCAAGGACAGAGATGATGAACTTATAACTGTATTAACAAGAACACTGAGTATCGGTGAGAATTCGGTCCATAGTAGGTGGCAAGGAGAACATTTATAACAACATAACACAAATGTCACAACGTCTTCCACACACACGTGTTTTCTTCATAATCATAATTTCAACATTTTCTTCATTATTTTTATCAGGATGTTTCCCATATGTCAAACACTGTATTCAAATGACTTCTTGTGATATTGTATAAAGTTGTGTTGAAAACGATAAAAAGGGAAATATGTGACGTTTATGCAAACTGGCTGATCTAGATGCCAGTGATGTAAGATTTTTTGTTTAACATCTCAGGAATTAATCATTTGTTTTATTGTCTTTGTTTCATTTGAATTATTTTTATTATCTTTGACGAACAATCTGACATCATTTTTGTATTATTATTTTTGCGTCACTGGTGTGGTGATATGATATTTTTGATTTGCATCAAATCATATACATGTATGATCATTTTGTTGAAGCGATTCAATTATTAAAGAAATAGTGAATTATACATTTAATCGATAGCACATCTAATGCAGTAATTAATACTTATAGAGTCAGGATTAACAAGATAATGAAAGTATTTCAATGTTTACATTTTGTATCATGAAGAATCTACAATAATAATTAATCTTTGTCAAGTGCAATCTCAGAAGGAGAAGAGGCCATTTTATATTGTAAGCCGTAGATTTCAAATTTGTTCTTATTAACTCGATCTTAAATTTCGAATGATTGATAATACATGTTTTTTAATTAAAATTAATCATAGTTATCTGACATTTATAGGGAGAATAAGAAAAAATGTGCTCACTAAGATTTATAATTGTTGTCCAGTAATTATTTTATTTTAATTAAAATTATGAGGAGTCCAATTATTGAGCAATTGATGGTAATGTGTTCATCTATCACATACGTCATTGTACCAAATGTAAATAACTCAGAAAAAAACATATAAAACTGTGAGCTAAATTAAATACTGAAATATTGAAAACGCACGAACTTTAACCATTATTCTTTTCGATGGTTGTTTGAACAGCTCTAGATATGAGAGGAGTTCAATTTGCTGTCAATTGTTCACAAGCTAAATTTGTTTCTGCAATTATTTTGTCAATGTTACAAAATTAAATTTGCTTTCTCATGTGATTTCTGTAATTTGACTCTCTAACTAACAATTTATTAAGTTCGGTTAGCTTTTGCTTTTTCTTTTACATTCAAGCATTTGAAAAAACGATGGAATAAATTGGTTGGTCTCAGTATCGTAGAAATTAGATTCGATTCTTTCTTTTATTAACTTGATTAAATGAACACTATTCTCAAAATTGTAAATATTATCTTTAAAGCCTCTTAGAACTTAGTTGAAATTGGATTCCTTTTGAAAATTCCTATCCTATCAATTAGTGCTACATTAAGCCTCACTAATAATCATTTTTGCTGCATTTTGTCACAACACAAATCATTTATGAGCGTATTAGCTAAGTTTATATTCAGCTGAGTACTGTACTTTGTAAAGAAGTGAATGATATCTGAACTTTTGATGAAATTATGTGCCTTAATAAAATGTTTTTCTTGCACTGTTTTATTTTATTAATTGTTTTTAGCAATATTTTTCAATGTATTCAATAAACATAAATTTCAATGAACTCTTTCAAGGCATTTAAACTATTCTTTACTTTTATATGTAAGCGATTTCAGCTGGTCTAATATTTTTTTTTAACTTTTGTGCTCATGAAACAACACATTCGTCTATGTGATTTTACCAATCAAGAATTCAATTCTGAAAGGTTAGCAATGATATCAGGAAACATCAGCTGGTAAAGAATTATATTCTCTGTCACATTGTGATGTAGATATGTCTCCAAAACCTTGTAGAAAATACTTAATGTGCTAGTGAAATGAAAAATAAAACCCCGCTTCGAGTACACGTTACATCATGTGACTGATGAACTTCCTCTGTCTAATCTTGATTAATAGTCACAGTTTTATGCTGGAGCTGAAATGGATCCACTTTACAGTGTTGGAGTTTATATCAGTAGTCCAAACGGTTAGACTAATTCATTCTTATTTTTATCTCTCTTGTTGCCAATAAACCCTAGAGAGGTCGCTTCAAATCATAGGGGTCAACTTCCGGCGATTAGTAAGGCAGAGTTGAATAAATCAAAGTAATATTTTTTCTGATCGACCATCATATGACTGTAGAGATTGATCGAATTCATCTGTAAAATATTGCTCTGGCTCTTGCTATTGATTATACAATTTTCTACTTACTAAACGAGACCTGTGTCTTCTAGGTGGGTAATAAATACCACAGAGTTATTAATAAAAGCAAGGGGTAAAAAAGTGAATAAAGAGTACATGAACTATACTTATTTTGAAAGCAACACTGCGTGTTTAAACAGTTATAAGAAATTTCCCTTTAAACATCCCATAACAATACAGCTCTCAGCGCTCATATAAATTACTTGGTCTGTTACCATGACCACGATTAAATGTAATGCACTCTTAAATCCATTAATTAAATAGTTGTTTCTTTTAGAAAATCTGTAAAATATATCAGCTTCAGAAAATTTAACGCATTTGACATTGAATAACACTTTAAGGATATCAAGATAAAGTTTATCCCAAGTCATAGCTAAAACATTACAGAATAAGTTATTGCATCAGAAAGAGGTTAATTCTGACATAAGTGTCATTGTTTTTAACATATTGTGAAAATGCTTCGTTGAAATATTTTTTTCTCTGTTAGAAAAAAAAAATTTATTGTTAAGGGTATCTACAAATTTGGTATTCTTATACCGGTCGACAAGGGATGTTTACTTCTCCATGGCACCTGGTCTCACCACACAATTTTTCAGGGATCTATGATTGCTCTGCTCTTTATTTGTATAGTTTATTTGGACTTCTGAGCATGTTTACTGCTCTTTATTTGCATATTTTATTATGTTTAACAAGAAAAAAAATGCTGGAATACCGGGGTATTTTAAACGTCATAAACGTGTCTCATGGAGACTCATTCGATCTGAGTTTCAAGTTTATAGAAGAGGCGGACTATATCAGACTAATCTTATCATAAATCACATGATCATTTTGGCAACGACATCTTTCACAGCTTTCTGATTGGAATTACCACAGAATTAAATTACAGTATAAATTCTTAATAAACAATGTATTTTATTTATTTCCCTTGCGAAAATATGTCAGGAACAAATATTTCAATATGTTGGTGGCCTTTTCCTCAAGAAAACTACACTAAAACACACTATTTTTGCGGACGGTGGCTTATAAAAATAGCCAATAAGATCCCTTGTATGTAATTGAAAAATTGAATTTCCTCTTCTTCCTTGATAACACATATGGGAGCTGTTAATTAAGGATTGTTTTTCTTACATATGCCGACTCACTGTGTTATAAATGCTTCTGTTCCCCATTAGGTAGGTGTTAGGATGATTTATAAATGAATCTATTTCTTGACTTTGTAACGTGAAATATCATTAATCATGACCAAAAATCATAAATATTTATTTTGAACTCAAATTACACTCATGTGCATATAAACATTCCGATAAGTTTGCTAGAGAATCCTTTCATTGTATCCAGGTGTACAATCACGATCAAATGCTGTGTTGCTTTGCAGTAGGTAAAATGGACATACTGCATGATATTGAAAAATAAGATATGTTATTAGTTCAAGTCTGATACATGTTGGATAAATGCCAAATACTGTTACCAATGAAAAAAAAAATACGACAGATTTTGGCCTAACACTGTCCCATTTTTTTTTTACAGTGGGATATTTTAACAAAAGACAGAAGTGTTTGTAGCCATTGAAGCAATTTTCAAGAAAGCAGGCCTGAATGAAAACTCTTCAGTATGTTGGGAAAAGGTTATATATTGTAGTGGGAATTTGTAATGATTAGATCAGTTTGAAATGGAGAATGGAGTTGAAATTTTGCTTACAAAAGAATTCAGAGCTGAATATGGAATTTACAGAATTATCTATTACAGATACATGAATGATAGATGAGATACATGAATACACATGAGATAATCTAAACTTTAGTTTAAATTAGAACAAAAAAAAACGAAGTAGATGGTACATGTTTAATGGAAATACTTGTTTCTATTTGTGTTACAATTTATGATATAAATTTCTATTTATAGTCGTTGATAATAATTCTATTAGCCATAAAAGATTACCAGACTGTTTTGCATCATAATATAATGTATTGCTTTCAGCTCTATTCATGTTTTGAAGAAAGAAAAAGAATAGCCTTCATTTCTTTTGAAAGAAATGTTTCAATGGACATAGACACTTTTGTTTTTTGTTTTTTTTATTGTTATATGGGACAGTCCAAGGTAAATCAACAAATGAATTACAATGTTTTAATTTTCGTGCTTTAAGGAAAATTAACTGGTTCGAGGGGATTTGATTTCGCAGTTAATGGAGAACCACCATGCTGTAACTTATCAAATTTTATGATTTCGTTGGGGATATAAATTCGTGGATCTCTTCATACGATAAAAAAACAAAAATTTAACACTCACGAAAATTAGTGATTTTACAGTATTCTATTTCACAAAAATTCATTGTAAATATAAAATTAAAATTTTCTGTTTGTTAAATAATCACGTTTTTATTTCTTTTGTTCAATTAAGGTCAAATTTGTGAAGGATTTTTGTCAGAAGGCAATTTGAGTGTGTAAGTGAATATTTTCAGGTCATTTTGATTATGTATACTCAAGTGATCTTCATTTTAAAGTGAAATTCAAATCGAACACTCTTGTCTGTATATCATTGAAAATACATTTTTGTTAAGCTATATCCCAATTTTTATATTCTAACAGGAAGATTAACTTACTGTCATAGGTTGTTCAAAATTGAACATATTACGGAATCCGTAATGACTGATAATTAACCTTTGTCTCTCAAGAGCAATTCAGCCATCTTTGATTTTGCGTTGCTAGGCTTATCAATTTTATATATGACAGTCTATATTCTCTCGTCACTAATTTTTCCCAGACTGCATAGTTGTATTCTTGTGACATACTGCCTATCTCTTCTTATATCAATATCTGTACTGTCCTTTAAACGTCCTCAATAGATGAAATAAACCTCGTCAGCATCTACATTAAATCGTCTCTTAACGACTTTCTGTACAGAAATGGTGATTTTATCTCTACTAAGATCCCTCTACAACTTCCCTATTTGACCTAACGTCACATGTCGAGTTCATGAAAGATAATTCCTCATCTATCAAAATTGATTTTTCATGTCGTTTGAAAGTCAAATCATCGTTATGTAGCTATACTCGGAATGTGTTGAACTCAGATTATTTCGCATCTGGGAATTAAGTAAATATTTCAAAGCCTCCGTCTCTCTGGCTTCTTTGCAAAACAAGAGATTACATTATGATTGTACATCATATCAGCGAATCTGATGTCTAGCTTGTAATCATTGATCGTGGTACAATAAACATTATTGTAAAGAAACTAGGGACTTGTTTTCGACCTTTCGACATCTTGAAGCATATTGTGTATTTAGATGTAATACCTCAGTCTAATCGATAAATTTAAGATTAGTAGAAGAAAGTTCATACTGCTACCAAAAAGAGATATGTATATGATTGCTCAAAGACTTTAAGTATTTGTCATATCGTTTTCCACCTTTCCTGTCCTTCCGTCCTTCTTTCTTCCATCTGTCCTCAGTCACACAGGTCACACAGAGCCCCTGTCCTTCCCTCCCTAGTCGGCCTTTGTCTTCCATCTGTCCTCAGTCACACAGAGCCTCTGTCCTTCCGTCCCTAGCCAGCTCTGTCTTCCATCTGTCCTCAGTCACATGGAGCCCTTGTCCTTCCCTCCCTAGCCGGACTCTGTCTTCCATCTGTTCTCAGTCACATTGAGCCTCTGTCCTTCCGTCCCTAGCCGGCCTCTGTCTTCCATCTGTCCTCAGACACATGGAGCCTCTGTCCATCCGTCCCTAGCCGGCCTTTGTCTTCCATCTGTCCGTAGTCACACGGAGCTCCTGTCTTTCCGTCCCTAGCCGGCTCTATCTTCCATCTGTCCTCAATTACACGTAGTCTCTATCCTTACGTCCCTAACCGACTCTGTCTTCCATCTGTCCTCAGAAACACGGACCCTCTGTCCTTCCGTCCCTAGCCAGCCTCTGTCTTCCATCTGTCCTCAGTCACATGGAGCCTCTGTCATCATTTTTTTTTTATCCTTTACCTTCCCTATGACATGAACTTCACTTTAAGTTTTATCGACGTTTATCAGATATAACATTGGTGAAAGCAATTCAACTGTTATAATTTTCTGATCTCTGACTTTGAATTTTACCTCTACCTCTTTGCTTTCAGTTCATGGTATTGAATTCCATAAAGGATTACCTCATACAACTCCGTGCAAAGATAAATCTCCATGATATCCATTCAACTACACATATACTTAGGAGAAAATATAAATTAGTGCACATCGTTTTTTTATGAATAGTGAGAAAAGGTATACTAAATCATCGTATAATTGACGAAAAACGCAAACAGGTGTGTTTCTTGGGAAAACGATGAATAATATATATA